CATGCGATGTCGTAAATGACCACATCGTGAACATCGAGTATTATGTTGTCAAATCAATTTCCCGCCGCGGCCAAAATGAGCTTTCCTTTTTCCCTCATAGACACAGTCACACACGCAGTCACACACGCAGGCCCCGTCTAACTTGCACACAAACATTACACACATGCACAGTGACAGAGAGCAGGGCTCGACATTATAAATGGCCCGCTGGCTCGGAAGCACTATTTAGACACCCCGGGCCAGCATAACGTACTTTCCACTTGCCCGCTCGGGCCACTAAAAATATTGCTGTGGTATAGGTACTTTGACAAGCAATGTTGTTAAATTGTTTCGTTTATTAACGCTACAACATAGCGTTTCGTGAGGCGGTTGTCGTTGTTGGGTGAAAGGCAAACAGCTGTTTACTGCGGAGCCAGCGCGAGCAAATGTGCTTTCCACTTGCCCGCTCGGGCCACTAAAAATATTGCTTTAAAAAAAAAAAATGGTCCTGTGGTATAGGTATTTTGACAAGCAATGTTGTTAAATTGTTTCGTTTATTAACGCTACAACATAGCGTTTCGTGAGGCGGTTGTCATTGTTGGGTGAAAGGCTCACGGGCAAAAAACTATCTTCAAATAAAAGAAAGTCACCGGAGGAGTTAAAGGAGAGTTACAGGTAGCATGAGAAGAAGAGGGAGAGAAAGTTTCAGCCAGCTTGATCGATGGAGTTGTTTTCTAGTGGTGCAGTGACGCGTCCTAAAACCCTTTTATAATCTATCGATTAGATTTATGATTCGAAAATTATAAAAGTAGGGTAGACATGTGGATATTATCCGGCTGAACAAAACGTGCATTTATCAAACAGGTTTGTTTTCCACAGACCTTATTTCCAGCTATTTTCCAAAACCCTATGGAGAAATCCCATTGCTTTTTTGTCGAGGGAACCAGCAGCTTACTTCCTGGTTTTAGGACGCGTCACTGATGCCAATATAAACAAGGTCTTCTGTCGGCTCTGTACATCAATGCCGACCTATGCTGACAAGTAAGTGAAGAGTAGAAAATATAAAAGGTATTGGCTATAGGGAAATGTCCCAGCAGTTTAGGAGAATGAAGGTTCTAATCTAATCTAATACATAGCCATTACATGTCTAACTCCTGATAATGACAGGAAGGCAGAAAGCGCATTATACTAATAATAATAATACTACTCATAATAATAGCAGACATTTTTGAACAATGACCACAATATCATTATTTTAATAAACCAAATATGAACAATTGAGGAAAATGAGGAAGAACTGATGATTCAAATGTTGTAGTACAAGTAGTAATGTAGTTAGTGCATAAATTACTATTGCAACAAATGTGTTAATTTTCTTCATTATTAGTCGATTTTTTTAATGCAGACATATGTTGCAGGGACTACTAGAATCATCATACTGGCGTGACTGTAAACATCAAGGGGTTAAATAAATATAAAAATTTTTTTTAGAGGACATTTCAGAATATCGCGATATATATCGTATATCGCGATATAGTCAATAAATATCGCGATATCATTTAGAGACCATATCGCCCAGCCCTAAATGCAACATAGTATAATGTAGCTAGTTCTAACCTTGTTTATGTAACATTACTTGTGCATTACTCTGCAGAGCAGAAGACATGCCTTCATCCCTTACTTGTGAAATTGATTTAGCTTCTCTTCTTCACTGCATAACAGCAGATGATTCATGTCTTATTTGTTTATTGTACACAGACATGCAGAGCACAAATTTCAGCCATTAGCTTCTTCCAGAGGCTCTCATTAGAGTTAAATAATGAATGATTCAGACTAGCCGGTCCCAGAGCTGCACCGTGAAAAATAAAAATAAATAGGTTTTCTTTCCTACTAGATCCTCACTCCTCCATACACCTCTCACTCAGGGCCCAGTAAAGCGGTAATAATAGATGATAAGCCATCTGCTTCTATGTTCTGCGGTTGTAAACTGTCTATGTAGCACATAACCCAGTTCCTAAGGGTTACTGGCGGACATTCCAGATGCTTGCTCGTGTCCTGATCTGACCCTTCCCCCTCACGACTCCATTCATTGAGGATGACCTTTCACCTCAGCCTGTGAGTGCGAGAGCATTAACCCTCTTGCAGTCTGGAAAGGAGCCAAAATGGGAAACCAGAAAGGATGGTAATACTGCAACAAATACAGAAGACGTTTTTTCAAATAATGATGATTCTGCACTGCTAAACATGTGCACTAAATGTTTTATCTGTAAAGAAAATGGAAAAACGAGCACCTGAGAAGAAGCCGGCTGTTCCACTCGGGATGCCATGTCAGCAGTCTGGATGTGGGTTAGACTTCCCAGACTGGTGTGGGGGCGGGTAGCTGTTCCTCTGACCTTCAACAACCGGCTGTAATGTCTCCTTTGGGAGAAGGGGATTGGTGGTGGGGTGGTCTGAGGGGGTTGGAGAGGTGATGGACTCTGCTACAGCCTGCCTGCCTCGCCTAAACCCTCATGGTGACTCTTAACCGACTGAGTCAAACACTGGCCAGTAATTATGTCCAAAACAGAGCCGCCTTTCTCTCTCTCTCTACCCCCCGCACTGCAGTTAGTTTTGCTGGTTTCTTGTTTATGCAAACTCAGTGTTTGCTATTCATGTGACCCGACTGTGGTGACAGTGTACCTGACCAAGGACAGATAAGAAAGAAAAGCATTTCACAACAAAACAGAACGCTCCCTCCCCCTCTTCATCTCGTCAGACCTCTTTTTTTGTGTTAATTTAGGCTGGTCTTTGTTCTGTTATCCCATTCTGTTAGATCCCACACTGATGAGTATTGACAGGTAGAGCGAGCTCTGCACTAGGGTGTGAGTGAAAAAGAGACAGAACAAGGAAAAGAGAGACACACACACATAGAGGCAAGGTTGACCAGAGGTGTTTAAATATACAGAGTAGCTTTGAATGTGTTTACATGAATATGGACATGATGTGAGCGAGGGAATGTTTTGGTCCCACCTCTTTCTTTCTTTTCTGCAAGATCTTTGCCCTGACTTGTCTAAAGTAGAGTGACACGCGTTCCTGCATTTGCAAACTGACGGGACGAGGTGTGAAAGCACTATGATGTATGTGAGAAACAATATGTAACTGATACACTGGTGGATGTAAAACACACAGAGGTGAGCAACAGCTTCATAGTCAAATCTCTTCAAACATATTTAATCCTGTAACACAATGGCAGTATTATGTTAGCTGTTAAAGAGCGAAGGAAAATAAATGGTTCTGTTGAGATGATCTGAAGCAGGGCACAAAGTGCAGAGATGCACAATGACACACACACACACACACACACACACACACACACACACACACACACACACACACACACACACACACACACACACACACACACACACACACACACACACACACACACACACACACACACACACACACAAGCCATTAAATGAAGACCTCACACTGCAGTCCCAAAGTGTGCCAGTGTATAGTTATTGAGTAACTTGGTGAATTCATTGGCACTGAATGACTGTTTCTTTACTACAGTCCATTTTCAAACTGCTCTATACATTTGTGATGAATACCACATGTGCATTATACATCTGGATAACAGCTGGAATAAAGCAGGCATTATCAATACTAGAAAGGTTGAAAACAAAATGTGAATAATTGCTTTGAGGAGGAAAGATATCCTCTTGTCGACAACTGCAAAGCAACAGCCAATATAAGCAGGATAGAGAATGGGAGTTAATCTTAAAGGTCAACAAAGAGGCACTGCTAATATGACCACACTGTTATATCAAGTTGTGCAACGTCTCTCAGCGGCTGTGTCGCGTCAACTCAGAGCTTTATTGTGGTGCTGAGATAACCACCATCAACATGCTGTGAAAAAGAGACGTTTCAAACTTTTAAATCTGGTTAGGACCTGGCTAGAAAGGTGAGAACAGCAACCTTGTTTTCTGTATTGGGTATACACACTTGAACACACACTCAGAGAAGTAGACACAACACCCCTCTAATTTAAAAAGCATGCTCGGTCTTGCATGCTCCCCACAGACACTCCCTCATGTCATACATGACCAGCGGCACATGAAGTTCACGTGATGATGACAGAACGCAGGAAAGAAATGTGGCGTTTAACCCCCCAACCCCTACAGACCACACCCATAATCAATCATAAGCTCCGCAGTTGAAATCGGTTTTTAGTTTTTACTCTTCTACTAGCAGAAGTACTGTTAATGTGTAAGGGCCGTCTGACAGACAGGCAGCATCTTGCCATAGACAGTAACCAATCGCGGCATAAAATGAAGGAAACTGTGCTCAGGCACCGCCTACAGTCTCTCAGTGCTCCGTAGTGTTAAATAATCACTTATCAGTGCACATGGCTTGTCCCTGGATGCATGTTCTGCTTCTTCCGTTTGAAAACAGTGTGTATGTGCATATAAGGTTGCCTAAGGACTGTCAAATAATGTTCCATGTTCAGCAAAAACTCCCTGCACATTTAACATGAAACAAAACACACCCACACACAACAAAGCTCGCTGTATGACAAACACATCACACTGATAGATGCATTAGCATGGCTGTCGAAAGATGGTCAACAACAGGGATTAAGTATTAAGCTTAGAAGTAAAGCAAGGTAACAAACCTGAAGGAAAAAAAAGATTTCCTGAGTGTAGAAAGCTGATTCAACTGTAAACAAAAGCGACACTGTAACTATCTTGTTCTGTTGCTACTTGATTGTGCAATCCTGTGCAATCCTGGCCTTCATCTCCGGCTCTGGCTCTCTTAGGGCATATTTTGAAACTATTCTGGATAGAACACCAAACATGTGGTCAGTTGACCAGTACACCCCCGCACCATTCATGCTCAAACCAATACACAGTTTTAGCCAGAAGCTGAATTCCACTTTTAGTCAACACTCTGTCAAGGAAGGCCTGGAATCGAGTATAAGATTTTTCAAGATATATACAAGAGGGGTTGATGCCTTGATGTCATCAGCAACTTCATACCTGTTTCTGGGGACGGGGATGTGGGAGGAGGGAAGGGGTTGCATCTCTGACGGTGGGATGATCCACTCTTGTGCTGCTCTGAAGTTGTTGGCCAGCTCTGCCTGTTTCCCTGGGTTCCTGATGTCCAAGTGCATGAAGATGCCTGGCGACTGTCCATTTGTGCCTGGGCAGTGAGTAGGACTGGCCCTCTTCAAGATCCCAGAGGAACCCGTGTCTTTCTGCTCCCCCAGGCCAGTCTAGGAAATGAACAAAACATTCAAGTCAGTCTATCATTTTAAGGTCAATTGGCATTTCTTCTACACGAGAAGTTTAATAATGGGATAGTGATAGAAGGAAGTTTAACAAATTCAACATCTAAAAGCTTCAATGCACATATACATATACAGTGGGGCAAAAAAGTATTTAGTCAGCCACCAATTGTGCAAGTCCTCCCACTTAAAAAGATGAGAGGCCTGTAATTTTCATCTTCTGTATACCTCAACTATGAGAGACAAAATTAAAAAAAAAAAAATTCCAGAAAATCACATTGTCTGATTTTTAAAGAATTTATTTGCAAATTAGGGTGGAAAATAAGTATTTGGCCAATAACAAAAGTTCATCTCAATACTTTGTTATATACCCTTTGTTGGCAATGACAGAGGTCAAACGTTTTTCTGTAAGTATTCACAAGGTTTTCACAC